TTGTTAAACTCATCCAGGTATACAATATGGAAGTGCTGTTTTACAATGCTTTCATAATGTTTTGGAATACCCCGTGATCCACCACTTTGGGATAACAGTGCGTAGGGAAGTTCTTCCATTTCTTCTACAAAATGCATGAAAAACAATGTATGTCATATGTATGTTTTCACACAGAAAACAGAATACACAGTAGAGCCTGGACCAGATTGCTGTTATTGTAGCCTATAGAAAAGCAACCTTAGCCTTAAAGCGAACCTGTCAGGCATGTTAAGGTCGCTTCCTGAAAAAAAAGTATTGCAAGGTTATTTGTTAGCCAGAAAAGTATATTGTATATGCCCCTCTGAACTGGGTTTCACTTTGTTACAAATTGTGGGGGTGCAAGTCAAAGAAAAATATACACAGCTCATTGTGGTACTCTGCGGTAAAGTGTGTTGTACTGCAGGGTGTCTGAGTGTGAGTGGGCCCTAAAGATCCACCACTGTATCAGGATTTGCACACAAAAAGCCGTTTTTAACTACAATACAGCTTTACCATTGCAGTAAAAGGGGGCCAACACACAAGAATAGTGGGAGCCACACCAAAGACTGTCCATAAATAGCCTGGGAATAAAATCATCCAGTAATAAAATCATCCAATGAGGGATTAAAATACAGGGTTTCTGACGCAATCTGTGTCAGGCATGTGTTATGTGGAGTCTCAGGGTCTCATTGAAGGATAGCCAGACACCTCCCTACCTGCCCACCCACATCATTCTGCCTAGCTATAGCGAGCCTAACACATTATAAAGAAACTGTTTATACAACTTGAAAATGTAATTCATATATTAAAATAAATCAATAAAATGTGCAGCTATAAATATTTAAAAAAAGCTTGGCAATGAGAGAAATTCCGCCACACATACCTCAGCCACAGTTCTCTCATCTGACACACTTGCTCTTGCTGAAGAAGCAAAACTAGTTAATTAGTTACCTAACCAGTATTTAAGTTTATTTACTGAGACATTTTGCAAACAGGTATGTACTGATATCATGATGTTCACAGTTAAATTAATGTGCTAAACTGCATGTAGTTCAATGATTGAGCTGAGAAACAAAAGGAAAGTCCAAAAGATGAATCTATGAGACTTTGGATTTAAATGATGTCTTTTATTATTCTTTAAATATAGTATAATAACAGACAATCTTTTGCACCTAGCTACCTTATTGAATCGTCCTTTTGGCGCTCTCTTATTTATTTATTTTTTCTATATAAAGGGGGCGGGGGAAGACAACCCCTGCAATGATTACTGGTCAGTGGCACTTTAAACCCCCCTAACGGTAAAGAATACTGCTCATTGGTAGTCAGTGGCACTTTAAGACCTTCCACATTCACCTTATTTGATACTCCTTCCTGCCTGGGTTTACAAACATTCAGCCCATTCACAAGTAAGGAAGGGGAACTTCCTCTGTTGTGAAAGTGATAAACGTTTGTAAACACTACTAGTGTTTACACTTGTAATGGTTGTGATTGATTCACAGCGATCGCATAATACAGAGCCACTCTGATTGGCTCTGTTCATCATGAGTTGGGTACACCGGTTGCCCAAGCGTATTTTCTGGAGCACTGTTTATGTACAGCACTCCATTGCACCAAGTATTTACATATTCTGAACAAGCAGCAAAAGTACTTTAAAGATACTGAAATGAATAAGGACTTGTTTCATAGCTGAACTCCAGGTATACATTTTTTTGCATACTTACGCTGGTCCAGCTTGGCCTACGGGGATCCTGGTCTGCCCACAAGGATCCTGTAAAACACTTTAGCAGCTGGAGTTAGTAGAGTGTTTTACAGAGATCTTCTGGACCTTGGTACTGCGCCCAGCTAAGCAGTTTTCCCTCTGCTCTGGAAACATAAGTGGCCGCTCACTCGGCACGATGGCCATTCAGAGAACTACTAGAATACAAGGCGTTCTCAGATTGGATGAGGGCTGGATACGTCTCAACCAACCACTCTAAATCTTAGCTTTTTTATGGAGAGAAGATCTTGGTAGGCTACCAGCCCTCAAATATAAACAACCAGCTGGTGTTTCTATGCTGTTTGTTGTGATCTTTAAGAACGAATATCTTCACAATAAAAGCACCTACAGAATCTGTATTCACATGTAACTTCACCATGAAGGGCTGCTGTCCAAAACCGGATAGAGAATATGTAAAAAGACAAAAGAGACAGCGCATTTGCTTATGTGATGCCATTTTGACTAAAAGACTTTTAAAAAAATCAAGAAATTAATTCTACTCACATGTTCAGTCCAAATCATCAGCATATAATTACTCAACCCAGTGTGCAATTAAGGAATATGAAGAAGAGAACTTCAGATATACACAGAGAAGGACCATCCAACAGGTGCGTGTGGACTGCATGTTGCAGTGTACTATGCCGTCATCATCAAGGGGATAATGATTATCTGAGATGGTATCCTAACAAAAAAGTGAATCATTATTTACACTGATCAGCCATAACATTATGACTACCCGCCTAATATTGAGTGGGTCCCCCTTTTACTGACACAACAGCCTTGACTTATTGAGGCGTGGACTCCACTAGAATTCTGAAGGTATGGTATGTTGTACTATCTGGCACCAAGCCATCGGTAGCAGATCCCTTAAAGTGACATTAAACCCTCAGATTTTTTAACATAAACCAATACTGTAATGTGTGTCTTACTGTAATCCATGGTTGTTTCCCTTCTCTTTGCTGCTCTTCCTTTTAAATCCTCATGTCTTCTCATGCTGGGCAGAACTTCCCTTTTCAGCTCAGGGCCTCTTCCTGTAGTGCTGGCTCAGATTACAAGCCTATACAAACGTACACACACAGACACCGTGTATCCATTCCTGAGACAAGGCAGTCTGCTGCAAAACAGAAGTTCTGCAGAGCATGAGAACAGATACAGATTTAAAAGGAAGAGCAGCAAAGAGAAGGGAAACAACCATGGATTACAGTAAGGCACACATTACAGTATTGTTTTATGTTAAAAAATCTGAGGGTTTAATGTCACTTTAAGTCCTGTTAGGTGCGAGGTGGGGTCTCCATGGATCAGACTTGTTTTTCCAGCACATCCCACAAATGCTTGATTGGGTTGAGATCTGGAGAATTTGAAGGCCAAGTCAACACCTTAAATTCGTTGTGTTCCTCAAACCATTTGTGAACCATTTTTGCAGTGTGGCAGGTAGCATTATTCTGCTGCTGATCTATTACCTGTGCTTGCAGTTGTTTTTACCTCCTTGCTGCTGTGGGTTTGCAGGTACCTGAGGTACTACAAGCATTGCTCTGCTCTTACTGCACTAAGCTAGCAACTTTGAGTGTTACGTGCTTCACCTGATGCTTAATATACTGAACCTTGCTTCTTGGCTACTTCCTGTCCAGCCTCCTATCTCTCTCTCCTTATTTAAATCCTGCTAAGTAGACATATAAGTTGCAGAAAAATTTGGTTTGGATATTTCGTTATTACGGTGAGTGAGTATTGCTGATGAAATCGACATTGGTCTGTGCTTGATGGGCTATTTGAGCTAGAATCGAATAACAGTTGTTGGCAGCAACAAAGATTTCCGATCAAAAATCTATAGGTGTATGGCCAGCTTAAAGTGGCATTAAAATCTCATCCCCCCCGGCCCCCATGCTGGTGTAAGGACTTACCTTAAATTATGCCTCTTGATCCGATCATCTTTCCAGTAGTTTTCAGGAGTCCCTCAAGTGCTGGTGGCGCTCTCTGATCCAGCGCAGACTGCTGTGTGTTTTGTGTCCCATGGAGTCTGTGCGGGTGCACGCTGCTGCATTGACTTACCCTGCGTCTCTCCTCTTCTCCCGACCAAAGATCTCTACTGCACATGCGCCCGCCCCATGATCCTTCACGGCCGCTCGAGAAGCTCCAGATCTTCCTACGGGAGCGTGTGGTGGAGAGACAGGTAAGATCTAACCTATTTGGTAACTTTTTCTTTCCTATGTTTTTTGCATATATCTACTGCTTGCTAGCAGTAAATACACGCAAAAACCCCAGAGGGCTTAATTATACAGACATCTCAACTCTCCCGGATGTTATTAGATAGCGGCTCCCGGACACCCGGGAGAGAAACATTTTCTCCCGAAAAGGTTTACTCTGCTCGATTTAGCAGAGTAAACCTTTCCGTGCTGTCTGTTTTTTTTCCTGACATCTGGGCCGCCGGCGCCGTCAGTCAGAAAAAAAAAGCGTCATAGGACCTAATAGCTAGATTGCTATTTCAATTTTCAATAGCAGACTAGATATTGCACCCGCCCACTGCTGCTGTCAATCAGCAGAGGTGGACCTGAAGTTCTCTATCAGGTCCACCTCTGCTGACTGACAGCAGCAGAGGGCAGGTGCAATAGCCAGCTTGCTATTGGCTATTGCAAATTGCCAGGTTTTTTTGGTCCTGACAGCAGCAGCTGTCAGAACACTTAACAGAACAGCAGATAGCAAGGAAGAACATAAGCTTCTTTGCTATCTGCCATCATTTCAGGGGGGTGCTCTCTTCCTTGTTGTTGCACAACCTGACCCCCCACCCCCCCCCCCCCGCGCGGAGAGGGATGGGGGGGTTGGCAGAGGGCACCTCCCTAAAATGAGAAAGGCACGTCACTAAAATTACTTATTTCAGGTTGGAATCCCTGATCTAAAGTACTGAAGTAACAGGATTGGTATAACAGCAAACAAATAGCATTTTTAGTAAGAGAACTCAGCAATATTTCTCTCATAATTGCTTTCCCATCTCTTCTAGAGAAATATATAAAGGCTTTTTTTAGGTTTATAGTATTACAATGTCTCCAATTATTGTTATACATTCAGCGTATAAACACGTGGATGTGATCAGCAAGCCGCTACACCGACAATCAGCGCTCTCTCCCGCCACCTGGTGGACATCTACACTCTCCGATTTATCTTCTAGTAAAGTCTGGCTAGACCAGGCAGCTGCTCGCAGATCTGTGGAAGGACGGAGGGCAGAGACAGCAGCATGGCGACGTGCAGTGTGATTCTTCCTCGTTTTCGTGGGATTGTGGTTTGGAGGGAATTCCCGTGTTGTGTGAGGGTGCTGTGCCTTGACCCCCGTGCCCTCTGCATGCCCTTACCGGCTCCCGGTCACTGCAGATCCGTACACTTATCGCCGGGACTCTCCGGGAAGAGCTATCTGCATAAGTTCTCTTCTAAAAACAAGTGAGCATAGCGCCACCTGCAGGTCCCTCGTGTATTACATGGCGAGTGGGGAGAATGGAGGGCTCATGTACACTCAGGAGAGTGTATTCATATTTACTCGTATGAGAGAAAATCAGCATTGGCCTGTGTGCATGAGCTCATAAAGGATGTACAGAAGAGTCCTGGGGACATGATACAAAATGCTGACAGAATTCTGTGATTAAAAGTCAAAATTCTTAGTTTGAAAGTTTTAGAATTTTAAGATTAAACCTGAGTTCTGACTGAGATTAAAGTGTGAAATTTTGATATTAACATGGCCGAAGAGGGCCGTACACTGTCGAAAAGGAACGTATTCCCGACTCTTGAGGACCAATTTAAAATTATTCAGCCCAGCCATACACTGGGCGATTGCCATTCGCACAGCATTCTTGCCACTAGAGGGAGCCGAAGAGCACTGGAATATGCTCCTTGGCTCCATCTAGTGGCTGGAATAATGCACGCACAGCATGTACCCAGTGTATGGTTGTTGGGCCTGTACTGATAAGTGAACAATGGGGCAGTGTATGTAGAGTCCCCTAGCCGATAGGGATGAGACTGATAGGGAAGTCGCACTATGCCACCGCATACTGACTTTGGGACTCTCAGCACTTCCTCCATACACTGATTTAGTCCTTTCCTGTTTTTGGGGTGCACAAGAGTGTTAAACAGTCAATCTGATATTGTATTAAAGAAGTATTGACATTGGCCCCCGCAGCTGTCACACGCTGGCTCTGTATATTGAGATCTGAGCGGTCATGTAACTGCTAATCACTCAGCTCACGGTCTCTTCTCTGATGGGAACAGTCACTGTCAGTCATCACTCCTCGGAGGGATTCCCTCCTTTCCTCCTCTGTTCCTCCAGCGCTCATTGGAGGGACAGACAGGGGTGAGGGCGGGCAGAGCTGGCTCTGGCTCTAGAGAGGCAGAGTCAGCTGTCAATCAGGCAGCCACGTAGATCCGGACAATATTGATAGAATCCTTCCTGGGTGCAACATGGCTCTGCGCTGCAAGCAAGCAGTAGGCCACTATATGCCGAGTTTGGGTCATAGGAGTACATAAGTAAATGTATTCCTGTGGCCCAAAAGAGCAGTAAAGCCCCCCAAAAAAGGTTTAACTTTGTTTTAAAGTACAACTACTGTACAGTTTAGCTAAATATATATTTGTAGTCGTGCAGCGAAAAAAATAATGGCAGCATAATGGGCTACTCTTTACAGCAGCATGGCCTGGCTGAGTGTTTTGAGTCTGTCTTTGCTGTGAACAAGCTGCACCTGGCCGCCACTAGGGGGCGCTCTTTTAAGTTCTGTTTTCAGCAATACGGCCTGCAGCCTCCTGGCTCTAAATGCATCCTTTTGTCCTTTGACAAACCTTGACTTTTCATTTTGGCATGGGGTCCAGATGTGTGATGCCTGATAAATCTAAAATGTGTGTGTATTTTGTTAACTATTAAAGCATTTCTCTTTCTTGAACAGAAAAAAACATTGGCATGACAGCACCTGGCAGTTTCCTGTGGTATGTACTATGTTGATGACTTATTGTTTATACCATGCTGCATATATATTGGTCATTTATGGCATGTTACATGTAAAATGATGTACAGTTGTGTCACTTATGTTATATGCTCAACATAACTGTAACATTGTTCATGCATGATAACTTTGGGGGAATGCCCTGTATATGACAGCTCTGGCACCTTTTAGATTTTATAAAAAGATATATATGTAAAAGAAAAGTTAAAAATAAAAGCCCAGTTCTGGGCTTGTAACACTGCCAAGGCAGTCTTGAGCATTGTCATCCCTGTCACCCCAATACTATATCGCATTAGGAAGCTCAGTCTCATGTTATGTGTGTACAATGTGGTATCACCGTGCACTAAAATAACGCATGAAAACTAGTTATCGTTATAATCTATAAAGCTCTTCACTAGGGATGCATCGATACTAGTATCGGTGCCAATACCAAGTATTTGGGCGAATACTCGTACTCACCCAAATGCTCTGATCCTAGCCCGATACCGATGCTTCTGGTGTCGAGAAGCTGGGCAACGAGTCATTACATGTTGCCTGGCAAGCCGGCTCCATGCTCCCTCGTTACTTGGTGACGAGTGAGCATGGAGCCGGCTTTCCGGCCAAACAGGAAGCCAGTCAGCGTGTAATGACTCGCCACCTAGCTTCCTGAATGGTCGGGAAGCTGGCTAATCAGGAAGCCAGACGGCGAGTCATTACCCGGCTTCCTGATTGTCCAGAAAGTGGGCTTCATGCTCCCCCCATCACCTGCTGACGAGGGAGCATGGAGACAGCTTCCCTGCTACTAGGGAATCTAGGTGGCGAGTCTTTACACGCTGCCTGGCTTCCTGGCCAATCAGGAAGCCGGGTGGTGAGTCATCACACGGCGCCTTGCTTCCTTAATGGGACTACCGGTATTCGGTATCGGCGAGCACCAGAATAAAAATATCCGTACTCGATACCGAAAAACTGGTATTGGTGCATCCCTAGTCTTCACATTAGTGCCTTGTGTTGGAGGGCAGTGTGATGCATTTTCACAAAAATTGCTCGCTGCATCTTTTGTGCATTTTGGTAAACACTGTGCTACATTACTGGCAATGCATAGAAAACACAAACAATATCCATTTACATCGGTCCGTTTTTCAAGTCACATGTCCAAAATTCCCATATATATAATAAAATATAAATGCATATGAAAGGCACAGAAAACGCATCTTGCTTTTAATTGGATTAAAAATTCTCTAACAATGCATTATGCATGTTGAGGAATTATTATTAATATATTCAGTATAAATATAATAAAACCAGTGAATATTATTCATATATCTCTAAACAGTGTAAGCGTATTATAAGGGTGATAAAAAGACAATATAAGGGATTTTAGTTGTTATTCCTAATTTATCATAACAATCCTGTGATTGGTGAGCCAGTTTTTGATAGGGTTTTTGCATGGAATATCAATCTATGGCAGAGCACAATTTCAACTGGGATCTAACATGAATGTATATCTTATGGCATCAATGTTGATACCTTCACAATGGTCACATAAAATGGTTTGATTCCATTGCACTTGATATGCAGATCAAACCATGTGACCATTGTGAAGGTTCTGGTAGTGTGAACCTTTTTGGTAATTATAGTCAATCATTGGCAGATTTACATTTATTGAGGTTTTATATAGAACCCTTTTAGATGCTTGAAAAAAGTATAATGGGGAAATGTATCCAATCTGGAGCAGTTGCCCTTGGCAACCAATCTGCTTCTATCTTTCATTTTGAAAGCTTAAAGTGACATTAAAGTCAAAAACCTTTTTCCATCCCCCCAATGTTAATCAAATCACTTACCTTAGATTATGTCTCTTAATCCAATCTTCTTCTTTCCTGTTGCTTTCAGCCTTCTCTCCAGTGCTGGTGCGGGTCTCCGATCCAGCGCTGACTCCTCTGTCCTTGCTGGCACTTCCTGTCTCACGTGTCTGCATGCGGGTGCACGCGTCCATAGACCTACCTTCTATCTCTCCTCATCTCCTGGCCGAAAATCTGAACTGCGCATGCGCCCGCCCCAAATGCTTTGCAGCTGCCCGAGAATTTTCGGATTTTCGGACAGGAGCGCGCGGCGAAGACAGGGGTAAGTTTTTAAAGCGTTTTTTTTTTTGCTTGCTTTTCTTGCTAGCAGTAGATATATGCAAAGAAAACATGAGGGTTTAGAAACCCTTTAACTGAAGATAGATGTTGATTGGTTACTATTGGCAACTGCTCTAGCTTTTGTCTGCTCAAGTTTTGATACATCTCCCCCATTGTGTTTTAAATAATTGCAGTTTTGGCAACCACTTTAGTTACAACGCTGCAAAAAGTACCTTTTTTGTGCATTCCATTGCACAGCAGTAAAAACGGCACAGAGTTTTTTAATCCTTGTTCATTGCTTCATTCACATGGCTGATTAGGGCTGTACATCAGCAAGGTTCAGCGTATACTGTTTCTGGAATAACAGGTGTGAGTGATCAGCGGCGGCCAGTAAGCATGTACAGAGCAATATCAGGCAGATAGGAGCTGTGGCTGTTCACATGTAACCTCACATTGAGCATTTGCATATAGCTAGGAGAGATGAGGGGTTGCATGCTACTAGGGACAGATGAGTGGCCCTGGACACAGAGAGTTTGTGTCCAGGCCCACTGATCTGTCCCGAGTGGCATGCAACCACTTAGTGTGCGGTTAGGTGCGAACAGCCACAGATCCTATCAACTTATGATTGATTTGGCTTCCAGGCTGCGGTTGATCATACACCCCTGTCATCCCAGCCGCAGAATTACAATAATTCTTCCCAGTTCAATTGGCCTGTGAATGAAGCCTAAAAGAAAACGTATTACTTGGAGAGAGATCCTTTCATTTCCTGTCCTTCTGACTCTGTCACTAGAACAGGAAATGATGGAGGGTCTCCCCATTGGGATATGAAAAGCAATAAAACCTGTCAGGTTCTAGCCCTTCCCCACCTTATCCAAAATTAGAAAATAGGTTTGGGCTGGAGGTTTTATTATGGAAATCATTGTGTATTATTTTCTTTTATACATACACAAAGACAATCATCAACTTTTTTTAACCAGCAATAACAGACTGTTTTTATGCCTATTTATGTGTTTACTTGTAGGAAAACAAGCCGCCTGGTCTACTGGCCTTGATAAAACAGCAGAGGGCAGAAAAGGCTGAAAATAATCCCCGTATTAAGGCTCTGAATGGGATCTTGTATGATGCAATAACCAGCCTGCTGAGGACATCAGAAGTCAGTGAGGAGGTTTATGACTTTTGTATTGAACTATCAAAGGTACTGTAGATGAGTCTCCTATTTCTAATCCGTGTGTATCACTTTTCTTCTGTTGTGTGTTTTTTGTTTTTTACATTTGTGATCTTTGTGTGTTTTTTATGTTTTAGGTATCTGTATCTGGAGACTTTTCAGTGTGTCGAGCTTACTGGTTAAGCAGCGGCAACAAAGACACTGATGATGAAATTGACAAAGTACTTCAGACGTCTGCTCCACGGTTTAGGTATTGTGATTTCCTTTATACAGCCTCATCGTTTTATAATCAAATCAAGTAGTTCTAAAAAAAAAAAATGCAGTCTAGCCACAATTTCTATGGTTAGTGTAGTACCTACTAGTACTTTCCTCTGTATGTAAAGTGTGTGGAAGCATGTTGAGGTATAGAGATCCAGAATACGTTTAAGTGTGTGGCTGCACAAAATCTCCTTAGGACCCCAAGGGTTAAGATTGTTTGATGGCCACTTCCTTTACCTTGAGAGTGTTGGTGGAAAACTGGTGGAAAGTAAATTTGGGAATGCTTCCAATGGCTTTAATAGACTGGACTACAGTGTGATTAGTAACAGATGTTTATAGGCATGGATCTCAGTATTGTGGACATTACATTCATGTCCTAACGCTGAAGTCAAATCTGTGGAATGTGCTGGAAAAAAGAGTCCAATCCATTGAGGTCTCACCTCTGACAGGACTTAAACGATCTGCCACCGACGGCCTGGTCCTAGATACCACGCATACCTTCAGAGGTCTAGTGGAGCCAATGCCTCAAAGGGTCAGGGCTGTTTTGGTGGCAAAAGGGGGACCTACTCAATATGAGGCTGTTGGTCATAATGTTATGGCTGATCGGTGTATATTAAAATTATCTTTTTTTTTTTTTTTGGCATGAGAAAAGGACATGCATATTTTGTTTAAATCAGACAGTTGTGCTGTTTTACTGTGGCTTTACCTTTGTTTTGCAGTAAATTGTAAGCACATATATATATATTTTTTTTTCTATTCAAGGCACCTCATGATAAGCCATCATGTTCTTGGAAATGTTCCACCAGTTGTGTTTGTGAGAGACAAAGAAGATGCCAAGAGGCGACAGGTATGATGAAATAAACCATAACCATGTCAGGTAAAGCTGAACTCTATGGACAGATATAAAAGGTGCAAATTAATGAAGCTCCGTATTTATTAATACATCATTAAAGTCATGTTTTTTTTAGTTTTTTTTTTTAACAAGAACATCCACACCACAGAAGGATTTTAAAGGACCTCTTCATGGGGAAACGAAAAAGCTTAAAGACATAAATAAATTCTTGGTGTTTTAGGGCCGGTCCACACCACAAAGTCTGCGTTCCAGTGCATTCGGCCTCTGGAACGCAAGCTGTCCGGCTCCCTGTGTTCAGGGGCGGGAGGGGGCGTGGTGATGAATTGAAGGCAATGGCACTGCAGCCACGCCCCCCGCAGTGCGATTGCCCGCACCCAGAACGCAGGCACATTACTGCCTGCGTTTCAGTCCAGTGCGATCTCCAAAAATGGTGCTTGCAGTATTTGCGTTCAGTATACTGCGTTCCAGTGGCTGGCGTGCGTTCCAGAGGCCGAACGCACTGGAATGCAGAGTTTGTGGCGTGAACTGGCCCTTAATATATCTCCAGAGCACTTAAAAAATCCACAAAATATATTAAAACCAATATGGCACATAGAACCCTAAAAACCTAATTGTATCCTCTTTTCCCAGTACAAAAGGATACCAATAGGTGCTGTATTGTTTGTAATAGATTATATGGAATTTGGAGATGTATAAATTCTTGAAGTTTTAATATACAGTATGTCTAAGATTTTTTTGTTTCACCATATTGAGGTCCATTAAAGTCACCTTTGGTGTTTAGATACTCTTGTTTTGGTACAATTGTTGGATGGGGACCCTTTAAGGTACATTCGACCTTATCTAACTTGTTTATTTTTTAAATGCAAGCATTATAAGTTGTCACCAGAGCAAGAGGTTGAGGGTGCATCATCCAATAAGGACAAATGTTCTGATAACACCCAAGATGGAAGTGCTTCTGTTTTGGGGAGATTTTCTCTAATTTCCCGTTGTGTCTTCAGGGTGGAAAGTAAAGGGAAATCTCCCTAAAAGAACACAGATAGCAAAAAATAACCTGATGGGTTTTAACCTGTCCCCACTCTATCCAAAACTAGATAAAACAAAAAAAAAATAGCTATACATACACTTTTAATAGGGAAAACAAATCTTTACTGTACAGTACACAATGAGGGTAATTAATCAAAACTGGACAGAAATCTGGAGCAGTTCCCCATGGCAACCAATCAGCATTTGTGTTTCATTTTCAAAGCTTAACTGAAGAGAGAAGCTGATTGGTTACTATGGGAAACTGCTTTACTTTGAATAAATTCAACCCACTGTGTTTTTGAATGGACATTAAGTAATGTATATAAATACTTTGCAGGTTGAGGATCTCTTCGCAGTTTTACAATCTGAAGAGGATAAAGTCTCATCAGTCGAAACTGATGTATCCAGGTAAATATTACATATATTACTGTGATTTTTGTATTGCAGACAATGGGTTTGTTGAAAGGTTTTTGTTTTTCCATTTACTCCTTGACGGCACATTTCCCACTGGTGCAGGATGCATGTTATACACTGAGTGGCCAGTTTATTATGACCACCTGACGTTTGTAGGCAAATTAGCTATAATTAGCTATAATTTTGCGCTGAAGTTGCTAGAGGGCCAGACCATTATAAATAGGGAAGCAGCTTGTTTACCACGACAGTAGAAGTGATTTTTCCGCAGATATGGGTAAACAACGCAATTTAACAGCCTTTGAACGTGGGATGATTTTTGGCGCTCGGAGCAAAACAGCAGAATTCGTTAAATGTTCAAGAGCAGCTGTTGTTAAAGTGTTTAAAGACTGGACTGTCAGCCGAAAATCTGGGTCTGAACATGCGAATTGTGGCCGTCAGCGACTAGTCAATGTTAGGGCCGAACGGAGAGTGGCAAGACTGGTACAAGGCAACAGTGCAGTGTCAGATTCCTCACATCACCTTTCAACATCTCGTGGAGTCATCTCGTGGCCCATTGAAGTACTGATGGGGTGGTCATAATATTCTGGCCACTCAGTGTATAAACTTAATTTGGTCCATGCACAAAATGCTGTTAGGCGATGGGGAGCAGTTTAAAATCGGCTGCTGTGCTCTAAACGGAATGACACTTCACAGAAACCCTTGGCCAGCTGTGTCTGAGGCAGTACTTTGCTTTCCTACAGGCTAGTCGGAGAGGGGGATACAGTGGCGGGATGTAGGTGAATGGAGGGGCTCCTGAGGATGGAGTTTCCTGGAAGGGAATTATCCTTGTTATATGCAAGTCTTTTCCCAGTATATTATGATACATATGGCAACTACCATCTTAAGTCCTGGGCTTTTCCTGGTCTTGGGAGTTAGATATTTTTAATTTGGAAATTGTAAAAAGAAAAATGTTTTCTTTAGATGTGGCCCTTCAATCGACTGGTGGCTACCGATGTGACCCTCAGTCCCTTCTAGTTGGACACCACTGGCAAAGAGGATGGTTTTTAGCATGCCATAGCTGGGACTTTGTGATGCTTGTTTTTGGGTAGCATCATGTTAGATCAAGCCTCTGATAAACCTAGAGGGTCAATGAGGAGAAGAGTACCTATAATATGGAACAATCAAATTATTCATAACCTTTCAGATTTTGCCTGCAGCCTCTGCTAGGATGTTCAAGTCTTGCTAAATAAATATGAAGCTGTCACTTTCCAGGCTTTAATTGTACTTGATGGTTTTAACTGTGTATTTTACCTTTTTATGCAGCTACAATATTGCCTAATTGGGCGTATTAAGTTCAGGTATAAATAATAATCCTTCCAGAATTCATGCAAATTCATTGTCACTAGATGACAGTTCCACAATCTTTAGTAAAATTCTTCCATTTTCATAAAAGTTTATAAAGTACTGTATCCTCTTGTGCTGTACTTAAATGAGTAACCGGAGGGACTGATTCTTGAAAATTATGACTTCATTCGTTTTTAAATGAGTAAAGGCGGCAAAATAAAAATGCTTGGTGTGTATTTGGCACCATCTTTGTCTACGGCAATTACCGACATGCTAACTTGTAGTGCGCACATTTGTGGGTCTTATTTACTATAAGTAGCTACATCTAAGCATATTTGCCTGCCTAGACTTGGTGTGGTTGTCTGCATTTGGCAGCCATTTGCCGTTCACATGTGAGAAAGTAAGCAAATGCCAGCAAATGAGGGATTTAGACTTCAAATCCCTATTTGATGTGCATCTGGTAAATACATGTTTGAGAAGGCAGGTGGGAGTGAGTACAGTTGCGCTTTCATAAGAAGCAGTGGGTAGATAATTGATAAGCCAATTTACCTTCAAGAAGTGAATACTACAGAGGATCACCCCCAACAGCTGTAACATTTGCTATAACTACAGACATGGACACATTTGTTGGTACTCTTACAGCTCATTAAAACAATGCTTTATTCCTCCTGGAAAGTGATGAATTGAATAGCAGTTGTCTCATGTATACCTGAATGCCTTTGGTATGTCATAGTAAAAACAGGAAATTATATGAATACTTTTATTGTATATCAGCTAAAACACAAGTTTTGCTCCCCCTATTTATGCATGTCTAATGTTAGCTGGAGAGGGCACCGTTTCAACATTCACCTCCAGGAGCTTAGGTGTAAGTAGCTAGCCGCTATTCAGCTAACTCTCAACCCACAATGCCATAAAAGGGATTCGGGGAGGTGTTTGGTAAATCACACTTTTTGGTAACGTTGTTTGAGATAACACTGCAGAGTACATAAGACGGCACTGGGTTTCTGTCAGTAGTTGTTATGCTTCTTGAACAAATATAATAAAAGGGAGCAAAAAAGGAAAGTTAATTGTTAGGTTTATATATACTTTTGTTAGTACGACCATTGTGTATCACAATGAAGCAAGGAATAGAGCTTGTGTAAAGCAGTAAGCAGATGTATTGCTCCCAAGTTTGTTTGTTTTTCTTTTAAACGTAAACGTTCACAAAACACTTACTTATTTTCTTTAAAGAGAACTATGGGGTAAGTGTTTTTCCCCATAGTTCTCTTAAGGGTCACGGGAGAAGATGTACTAGCATCCTCCCGTATACCAAAGCTCAGTATATCCCGAGCTACAGCTCGCGGTATACTGAGACCGCTGCAGCCGGGAAGGATCCCGACATTACTGTCGATCTACCCAGCTGTGTGAGTGACAGCTGGCTCTGCTATCTAGAGGCAGAAGCAGAGCCAGCAGTGCCCGCCCCCTTCTCCGTCCGTTCCTCTTGTCAGTGCTGGAGGATCGGGGAGGGGGGGAATCCTTGCAGGGAGCTGCAGTCACGGCTCTCTGCAGGGAGATGATTGAGAAGTGAGCGAGCGACGGTATGTGTTCGCTCACTTCCCGATCTATTGAGCCAACATGTTTTGTCATGAAATGACAGTTTCATTGTCACACGTCACCTCCAACTATGAGGATGCGTGATTTTCACTCACCTCCTAGTTCTCCTTTAAGCTAGCTTGTTTTAGATTGTGTTCACCTTTTAG